AGGGGTCCCAGACTGCGAGAGGGCACAGGCCGGGCTGGGGGACCCCCCCTCCCCCGCCCCCGGAGTGCACAAATTTTTGTGCACGGGCCTCTAGTTTTTAAATAAAATACAAGACATATTAAATTAATAGACTAAAATCTATCCTTTAGATATGAGACAAACTCAGATTAATATTTCAGTATTCTGTTATTTCAAAATATCTAGATATTTAATTTTATTATTTTATTTTCCTTTATAAAAACAGGAGTGACCCCAGGTCCTGGGAGGCAACCTTGGAATGTGGTCCATTATTAATCAAGAACTACCCGTTATTATGGAAACACTAATCTTGTTGCCCAGACCAAGCCTGTATATTTTCCTTGTGTCATTTTTGCCATCTTCTAAAGAAAAACAGTCTTGGGCTTATTCCATAGCATCAGTGAAGAGATGGGGCTTAGGCCAAGAGGCCAACTAAAATCAGGTGGGGCACCTTCTCCTTGAACTAACTTTTTTCTCTTCATGTGTATAGAAGTCCAGGACACGTCTCCAGATTGTGAAAAATGTCTCATCTATCCAAATTTCAAATGACGGACTGGGAAATAAAAACATGGTGAAAATGAGCCTTTTAATAACACTTCTGAGAGCGGGAGTCCATTTTGCAGGATCACCAAGAGACCTAGTAATTAATGGGCTGGGGCCTTTTTTAGTTACCTTTACCTTCCTTTGTCTAGGGGAATTTTCCTAGGATTTGTAGTATTGGCCACCTGTACTGCTCATATTCTCTCTTTCCCCACCCCCACATTCTGTTTGCTCTGGGAAAATTTAGTAATGGCCTGGCCACCGACTGTTTCTTTTCTATGAAGATAAATTAAATCAAAGGCATGCTTAATAGACTAACAATAAACAAATTAAACCAAACAACAAAGACAGATAAAACAACAATCATCAGACAAGCACTCATAACACATAGACAAGACTTAATAAATCAGAGTTCTTTTCATGAATCTTTCAGATGTTTTACATTGCCTGGGACTTACAGCCAGAATGCGGCCCAGAGGCCTGCCAGGTGGGTTCCCAGTGAACACCCACAAATAGACTGTTACATCATATGGTAATTTTCAGACAAAGCATTAAAGAGTCCCTTTTTAAATGGACTGTTAGCCCCATTTTTTCTAGTTGATGAGCCTTCCCACACCGGAGGTGGAGGATCAGGGGGATTTATAGTCCCTACCTTAGGAGGAGGAGGAGGAGGGTGTGGTGATAAATCCTCCTGGCATTCTGTAGGCTTTTGATCCTCAATATGAAGTTCACAATATAGAGCTCGAACAAGAGCCCACATAGTTAAAGATGACAAGGGCACTTGTTTTCCTTGAGCTTGATTTCTTCTTCAATTCCTACCTACTCGTTTCCAGAGATCAAGGTCTAATGTTCTAGCATCAGAGAACCAAGGATTATACTCTATGATAATATGCAAAAACTGTGAGAGAATACTTTCTGACACCTTAATTCTTTTATCCTTGAGCATGCAAGCCAAAAGTCTACAATAATGTTTTTCTCCTTTACTCAAATTCTGCCCCATTATAACCTGGGTGATTCCAAAAATGTCCCCGTCCACTCACGGTTGCTACTCTGAAGCTGGCAGGGGCTTGTGTGCCAGTGAATTTTCACCTTTCTGGTGAGTTTCCACTTTTCCTTTTTCACTTCATTTTTCGCTCAGGTGAATCTTCTCCTCCAGTCCCTGTTCGGGCTCCAGTTGCTGTGACCTGCACGGCTAGGTTCAGGATCTGAAGGAGGGGCCGACACACAAATGAAAATGCTATACAAGAAATATTCATTTAGAAGACATTGGGGGCCAGGTGGAATCTCTTTCTGGAAGAGACACACTGAGTTCAGCTTTTTATTTACTTGAATACACATTTGCCCTTTAGCAATGCATACAGGCAGATCAAAGGTAAAGTTTGGTAAACAATGTAAGGATTATCAGGTCAGGAAATTGCCTCGAGCCATTGCAATCACAGCAGGAGCAACACTTGTGTTGTTATGCAGCCCTGCTTAATATCAAAGTCCACTGGCCTTCCAATGTCTCTCTTTGATGCTCAACTGATGTTTGCTTTAGCCTCCAGCACAAAACCCTGTTTCAGTAGTCACTTACAGTTTTTCTTATCATATTTCATAAGTGTCAGAAAAATGTTAACAGTATAAGAAGAAAATTCATGTGCCTATTATGAAAAAATAACATTTCTGATAAAAAGGCTCACCATCGTCAAAGGATAAATAAAAAATCAAAGTATTTCAATCCTATTTTACACTTAATGTGCTTCATGCTTGCCTTTTATCTGATAATTAGTAGTAATATCCAGATAGCCTACTAAATTAATATAATAGTATTGATAATGGTGAATTTTAGATTCAGACAGACATTAGCTATTATCCTAGCCATGTGACTTTTTAATCTTTAAGATTTAAGGGATTATTTAACCTTTTTAAGATAAAATACTTAATTTACTAAATGAGCATAATAATAATATATTTCTGATAGGCTTGCTGTAAGGATTAAATGAGGTGATACATATAAAAAACATCATTAGTGCTTAGGACATTGTTGGTGCCCAACAAATATTAGTAATTTTAAATTTTTGAATATTATTAATAATTAAGTACTTTTTAGTTTTTATAGTTTTTCTATTTATTATATCAGATATTTCCAGGAGTCACTTTTAAGAGGATTTTCTACTTAACACCATAATCTAAAATTATTGATCTCATGGGAGGATGTATTTGATATGTGAGGTATATAGGCATGCATAATCTTTTCCCAAAATAGTCACCTCAAAATTCTCTCTAAATAAATCATGGTCAAAATTTATTTTCTTTCTAATCATGAAAGTATCCATCAGGAGCCAGATAACATTCTGATATTTTATAAAGAATCAGAAATAACTCAGTAATTTCTAGCAGGTAAGATTATTAATTTGGAAAAGTTAATTTTTCTTTAATTATCAAGAAGAAATAGTATCATATAAGGGTCTAGTCAACTCAATAAGCTATTCTTCTTAATAAGTTGAAGCATATGAAATCACTGCTGAATGACAAACATAAAAAGATATCAGCAATTTCACATTTCAAACTAAATATTGATCAAATGTATTTCTATGATTAATGTTAACTACATTTCCTCTTTTGTGTGTTCTAATTCTTAAATGATAACATATTTGCTTAAACTCTGTGTTTGCCCATGCCAAACCTAAACAATCATAGGTTAATTTCAATGCATATGAAGGTGAGGCACTGTACGAGTTGGATTCTTAGATATAGATGACAGAAACTACTTTGGCTAACTAAGCAGAAAAGACATTTTCTGGGAGGACACATCATAAAATAGAAAGGACACTTGGAAAACCAAGCTTATAGGCAGGCCAAAATTCTAAGACTTGTAAACTTAGAACCTACCATAGTTTGGGACTCTCTGCCATCTCTGACATTAACTATAGTACTACTCCACTATATATGCTGAAAATAATTTTAATTGGACCCTGCACTCTTTTTCTCATTCTCTCAATATTTAAAACACTGGGATGGAGTGTCTGATTAGCTGACAACACATCCTCTGACTAGCCTTCAAATGACAGCTTCGCCTTTCTGTCTTCTGTAATGGGAAACAGAATCCTTCATCCTATCTATCTTGTTATGCTTTATGAAATAGGAAGAATGTCTGTATGCTGGGCATAAGTACTTAGTTCATTAGCCAGAATTCTCTCTCTGGATTTATTCCTATATAATATTCTGTTAGAGTAGTACTAGATTGCTACAGACTAAAGAGCTTTTGCATTCTCAATTAGTTTTTTTGGCTTATATATACAAAGTAGAGGCCTGGTGCACAAAATTTGTGCATGGGGGGTCCCTCAGCCTGGCCTGCACCCTCTCGCAATCTGGGACCACTTGGGGGATGTTTGACTGCTGGTTTAGGCCCAATCCCTGTGGCAGTCCAGGACCACTGGCCCCTAACCACTTGCCTGCCTGCCAGTCTGATTGCCCCTAAACATTCTGCCTGCCTGCCTGATCACCCCTAACCACCTCTGCTTCAGCCCCCGCCAACACAGCTTTATCAGGAAGGATGTCTGGAATGACATCTGGAAGGTCATTTGGCTGTCTGGTCTAATTAGCATATTATGCCTTTATTGTTATATATTTGTTCCTATTTGAAAATATATATGCATTAGACTTATTTTTGTAAGTCTAAAATAAAGTATAAATTAAAATTATGAACTAAAATACAGTTTCTAATCTTCAAAAAGTTGGTAGTTTAGAATTGCACATATTCATTTAATTTTCTCAATTGTACTCTCAGTGTTACACAAAAAGTGCCATGAAAGTAATATGAAGAACAGTTTTTTGTTGTTTTATTGAGCAAATACATTTGAGTATTGCTGGAGATGTTATACTTACATAGATAAAGTTACAAATTTAATCCGTGTATGGAATATTATTAGTTTAACAGAAGAGAAACACAAATCAATATGCACCTAATGTACATGTGTGAATTTAATAAAAATTGAAAAGTAAATAAACCTGTTTGCTGATGGTTATGCTTTTTATTAAGGGTAGTAAAAATGTTTGCATTGTGATTAAATCATTTTTCACAAAAAAAATTCATCTGTTTTCAATATGAAGAATTTATTATAGATTAATTTTAAATGTGCTGTAGGAGAAGTAAAAGCTTTATTAAGAGGTAATCTATACTAATAAAAGGGTAATATGCTAATTAGACCAGACATCTTCCACACGACCTACCGGATGTCCTTCTGGACAAAGCCATGGTGGTGGGACCGAGGCAGAGGCAGTTAGGAGTGATCAGGCTGGCAGGGGAGAGCAGTTAGGGGGATCAGGCCAGCAGGGGAGAGCAGTTAGGAGGATCAGGCTGGCAGGGGAGAGCAGTTAGGGTGATCAGGTAGGCAGGCAGTGGTTATTAGGGATGATCAGGCAGGCAGGGGAGTAGTTAGGGGCCATCAGGCAGGCAGGCAGGTGAGCAGTTAGGAGCACGGATTGTGAGAGGGATGTCCGACTGCTAGTTTAGGCCCAATCCAAACCGGCAGTCGGACATCCCCCGTGGGGTCCCGGATTGGAGAGGGTGCAGGCTGGGCAGAGGGACACCTCCCATGCACGAATTTTGTACACTGGGCCACTAGTAAAATTATATTTAATCACAATTCTTTCACAATGGGAATGAAAGTGACTAAATCTACCATTCTGTATGATATTTCAGTTCTTTGAAAATCTTCTAGGATCTCAAAGGCAGTGTGTTCTTTACATGAGGACTTCTTAGCACATTATATTTCCCAATCTCAATTACCTCTCCATTTACTCATTTAAAAGAACTCTGAAAAAAAGTTGGCTTTAGAACATGCAGTAAAAATGTAAACTATTCCTTCTGCTGAAGTAATACAGTGAAATCACTTCAAGTTTATATCTGTAATTTAGTTGTTTGCAAATGTTTTTTTTTCTTTATTATAAAGAGTTGAGAGGTTTTGTTTGTTTTTATCCCTTTTGGGGGGTGGAGAGGACTTTGATGTTAAACCAGCTTTTGATGCTTAAGGCAAAACAAGTTTTTAAAATATCAAACTGATTAGAAAAAAAGAAAATGGCGGAGGTATAGAGGGACGTGTCCTGTGCCTTGTCCTGGAGCAGATAAGGGTGAGCAGCTGAAACGGGTAACATACAGCCCGAATAAGCAGAGGATATTCAGTGGAGAGACAGTTTGCAGCCGGGAAAGACAGGACTCCCGGAAAAAGGGGACGGTTGGAGACTGCGGCTGAAATCTCTCCCGGTGCGCCGGCTCAGCCGTGGAGACTGCGCCATCTTGAGTGGCTGTTACCGGCATCCAGAGATCGGCTATTAACCCGGAAACAACGTATCTCAAGCAGCGCGACTACGTGAACTCAGACGAGCACTGCTTCTCCTCACAGAAAGGTTAGATTTCCCCTAAAGGTGCGGTTTGCAATTCAGGTTGGAGAGAAGAACGCGTGCAGGGGGAAATCTGCACCCCGCAAAGTCCGCGGCCGTTGGGGCCAGCGTGATCCACGAGTGGGGAAGGGGTCCCACAGGGCTGCTGGCAGAAGGGAACGCTAAAAATAAGCCCATAGCTGGACTGGATGCAAAAAAGCAGCCTCGGATTTTGCCAGTCTGCCGGCTGCTTGGTGCCAGGGGCAAGTGGGCGCGCGGAGACTGCGCGCAGACCTGGAAGGTGGAGGCTTGCGAATTCGCACAACTCCTCAGGCTCTTGTTTTTACACTTCCCCTTAGATCTGTGCGTTTGATTATTAAACCCAGTGCATGGGATT